AGATCCCTGTACAAGCAGAAATACAAACACGCTGAAACATTCCAAGATACAGCTGGAACTTGGGAGAGTTGCAGTTTGTGAATGTGTTGTAAACTAACACACACACACACACACACACACACACACACGACTGAGAGACGAACTTCCGTCCTAAGGCAAGTATAGAGGGGTTCTCGAAAACTGCTCAGCTGAGCTTGAATTCTGTTAGTGTGTTGTAGTGTGTGTTTGTGTGTTGGGGTGGGGGGGTGCTCTGTGTGGGTCAACTCAAAATGTTCAACTTGGATACACACACTTGACACTTGAAAGATTAAACACAACACACACCACACACACACACACACACAACACACACACACACACCACACACCACACACACACACAGGCAGAGAAAGAAAGGAAAGCAGTGTGCAGATCTCTGCAGCTGGCTGATTGCCAAAGGGCTTCACTTTGAAGATGTCCCTGAGAGAGAGGGAGAGAGGGGCGAGAGAGGCGAGAGAGAGGTAGAGGAGACATTGGGGGTGAGAGAATGAAAGGATGGCGGAGAACGGGGAGGAAAAATGGCGAGTTGTAGGAGAGAAAAGAGGAAGTAAATGCTCAAGGGTACTGCGTCCCCCAGAGAGAAATGGAAGATAGACTGATGCTATCTCTCCTCCCTTTTCAGTGCTCATATACTTCTTTTTTTCCTCCATAAACCTTTCAGATGGTTCATGCTGTAGCGCGTTCTTCCTAAACAAAGTCATGTGAGGGAGGAGGGTCTACGCGCTGAAGCCTATGTGTAGACTTTGAATTGAATTGTCTATATGGTACCTTGCACTTTCTTAGGTCAGCTAACCTACATCTACTCCCTGTAGAGCTCGATATATATATGGACTTTCTGAGGCCATCCAATCTATATATCTGAGATTTATTGGCAGAAATTGATCATTTATAAGTCTTTTTCACCTGAAAACAAGAATTGTTTTGCTTTCGTGAAACCCCATTAGCTTTTGACGAAAACTTCCAGGTTGGGCCTAAAAAAAAAAAAAAAAAGATACGTCCTCCCTGCAGCATTCCATAATAGTACATTTTAAAGGGTAAATCTCACTGGAAATTAACCATAGAACTTCCTCAAACCTCGCAACTCATAAAGGCGAATGTGCACTGACAGTTAAGTTACAGAGAGTTGAGCAAGTAATGTTAGCGTTAGCAGCTAATGCTACTTCTAGCTAACTCCTGTGTATTACGGCTCATGTTTGCAACCATTTGTAAAATTTCTAAAATAAAAATGTAATAAAGAATTATTATTTTATAATACGAGTGTTCTAAAATAAATCACAGCATATCTAACCCTAATCGCAGTACTAATTGACAGGAAACATCAAATTAAGTAGTGTAAGACGAGCCTGTGCTAAAATACACTGTCCCTAATGACTCATTTACATGCTGTAATTTATCTGGCGTTTATTGGTAATCCTTTTGTTTCAGTCTATGTAAGCCTTGCAACAGTGAAGCTTTCTTCAACCATATTTATGTCAGCAGATTGAACTCCAATTAAAAACGCATTTTCAAAACATATCTTTATAGCATTTCTTTACTGCAAGATATTAGCGAACATATGTCAGTGCTGATACATCTGAGACAAGCTCAAATCTGTGTATATCAGTCGTGCCTGGCATTTGTTAATTTTGCCCCTAAACTTTCACAAACTCTCAACATTTGATCATCTTTATTATTGTTCATATTAATTCTTTACCATAATTATGTAAACTCTTTGTCTGTGTGTTAGTATTCTTCCTGCTTGCTATTTTGTGCAAAAGGCTTTTTATTGTGAAGCACTTTGTAGTTTATGTTTTTAAAAGTGCTGTATACTTATATACCAAATTCCTCCACCTTTCCCCCCATTCCTCTGTTTTGTTTTATCAATTACGACTTCCATTTCCTCCCCCCTTCCTTTTGTATCTTCCTCCTTCTGCTTTCCTTTCCCCACTTTCCCTTTTCCTTCTTGTCTCTCTCCACGTTGCTACCATTTCTCCCTCTCCACTTTACCCTTTGTCCTTTTCATTTTCCTCCTCAGTCCACTATACCACCTCCCTCTTCTTCTCCGGCCTTCTCCCTGCTCGTCGCCTCCATCTTCTCCCTCCTCTCCTTTCTGACGCTCCTCTTCCTCCTCCCACTGCCTCACTGTCTCTCACTTCCCAGTCAGATCAAAGAAAGTTAAGTAGGCCAGTGGCTGTGGTGGGCGTTAAAGGGCTTAAGGTGTGTGTGTGTGTGTGAGCATCTTTATTTTTAGGAAACTTATGTTGGATATCATTAACATTGTGTGGGTGGAAGATGTGTGTGTATAATGTGTCTATAAATGTACTGCTTGCATATTTCTATTAATAAAGGATTTCCAGGATAATTAAAATGGATTTATTCTCTAGTATCCGTTTAGATTGTTTTGATAGTGAATAACTGATTGAATGACTAGAAAATGGCTTTAAATTAATGATGAATCTTACTACAGTGTTTTCCCAACATTTAGTCCTCTGTTATGCTCTTTGTACACAGCATGGTTGTAGGAAATTGCATTAAATGAGCTCAATGTCTTAAAAAGAAAAGACTGCTTTATGAACAACAAGTAAGTAAGAGTGAAGTGTGGGACAGAATTAGAAACAGGAAGTAGTAGTCTGACCGTGCAGAGTGCAGTATTTAACCCTGTCAACAGAGTATTAAAGTAGGCAGAGCTGCTGTTTGAACTCATCCTTTTAATAATACCATACTGTAATGTATGGTAACTTCACTTCTGAGAATGACATCAGTTGCATTAAATACTACAGTACCCATGAGCCACTTTGGCCATTGCTATAGGGAAGACTACGGCTGAGGCGCGTTGGGAGCATAATCAGAATTCTTCAAACGAAACAGTAATAAAAAACAACACACACAGGCAGAACTGACCAGCTGTTTTACAAAACGTGTTCTATAAAGCGATATAAAAAAGGGTGGGACTTAGTAATGCTCAATTTTGGGGGTTCTGGAGAAATGTCACGCCCATCTCAGTGCTGGAAGTACCAGACGATTGTGATCATGTGATCAGCCACTCCGTGTTTTTCAGCTTTGATGAAGTACTCAATGAATGTTTTGTGGACAAATTAACAAAACACACACATTGACCCACCATTTTCTTGAAAGTCTATCTTGACTTTGTTAGACTCTGCGCTGGTGGCTCTGGTCCAGGCTTGCCCTGGCTGCTGTTTAGTCCACGCGGTGATGTCGCACCAGTAGAAACCTCTGTCAGACAACTGGACGCCAGCAAGGCGAAACCGAAACTCTGTCGGGCCAGACTTGGTCAGAACCAGACTGTCTCTGAAGAGAGAGAGGTGAATACATTTCAAAATAAATCGCAGACTCCAGCGCGTCCCTGAAAGGTTCATATGCGTGAATGCAACCAGGTACGTACCTCCTGTTGGGGTCTGTGGCTCCTCCATGCTGCAGGACGTTGTCAGGGCTGAGAGTCATGATGGTTCTCACGCTGCTCGCCACGGTGTCCTGTGATTGGATGAGCACCGAATAGCCCACCTCCCCGAGGTTCTCAGTGGTCACGGTGCAGCTCATCTCAAAAGTAGCCCCGCCTACAGAGGCTTCGCGGATGTGCTTGGCCACGACGTTTAGAGAGGGACCTGAAAATGTCATCAGTCCATCAGTGAACCCCTCATTCAGCCCCGCCGCGGGGGGGAAATCCCCGAGACTGGGCAACAGGAAGTGATAAGCGATGACACTGTGAACTTACTCTGATTCAAAGCAGGCTCACACACACATACACCCAGCAATGCGGTTACATCATGGCTCAATTAGCTAAATTGAGGGCACCAACATCAGCATGTAGGATAGAGACAAAGTGTGTGTGTGAGTGTGTGTGTGCGTGTGTGTGAGCTGGGAATAAGAGAGACAAGAGATCTGTTGTTGTGTTCACGATGAAATTCTGGGTACGTAGACATTAGAGCTTATTCATAAAACTCAACAGCAGGGTTACTATGCCTGGCTGGCAGGGTACTCGAGTTTTATTAATCATGAATGTGAGGTAATGGTTGCGCTGTTCTGAATCCCTCCCAAAAGTACCTCATTAAAGCACAGAATACGACCTGGAGTAGTAGGATGAATGTAACATGCAGAGATAAGTATAAAAGGTGCCAAAAGGAGATGTTGGTTTCCCCCACAGCACAAAAAGAATTCATTTTCAGACCAGTCTGTGTGTCACCTTTAAGGGTAATGTGTTAAAGGGGGTGTATTATGCTTTTCCTTAGTTTAAAAAACATCTAAACTATCCATGATGGCAGGCTGACAATGATTATATATATATATATATATAAATAAAGAGAGCATTTGCTCTTTTTTTGGATTCAACAAATAACATCAATCATTCCATAATAAAATCCAGAAAAAATCATGACAAATGAGCACTGATGACAGCAGGGCAGATAAATAAAGCCTCCTTACGTTTGGTAACCCACTGTACTGTCTGCGGTGAGCTCTGGTGCTCAGCGGTCTTCACCAAGTCCCCCTGGCTGTTAACACTCCAAGCAGACACAGTGCAAACGTACTGGCCCATGTCGAACTCCTACAGGCAGAGGGAAAATGAGTCAGGGATCAACATCACTGTGATCGTTTTCAGTTCAGCTCAACCGATGTTTTCTAGCCGCGGGACAGAGTCACTGTTCTGTAATTCAACGTCTTTAGATATGATCGTTTTGCTTG